TTAACCGCTATTTTCGATTTTAACAGTTTGAATTGTCATCCCTAGGTATAATTAAATTATTACCTCTCAATTATGCCACCTAGACTCGTGTTTTAACATCAATTGTGCTAAATAGCATTACTCGTAAACAAAAGAGAAGTATTGTTAGTCAAAACACAGAATCCAAACCATATCTTCTTCATATATAAGAACTTGTATAAAATGTGGCAGGGCCTATCCTACACAGCACTTCTGCTCCAATGAAATCAACGATAATGCGAAATACCATTACAACATAAATAAACTAAACGACAAAATTTCTGCACTCCTTCGCCGTACTTAAACCTTGATGTTGAAATAATCTTGATCAAAGTGATGCAATCGCACATATCCATCTTCACCCCCACTCGAGAAACTGTGTAAAAAATAAAAAAAGACTACATTATTTTTGTACAGATAAACCAACAAATAACAAGGCATAAAGAAAACACGCCTAAGAGAACTGAAAATTTATAAAATGCAACGATAACACCAAAATAAACAAAATTCTTAAGCCCACTTCATAAGAAACTTGAGATTGCATCTACTGCCCCAAGCACCCAAGCTTTGACAAATTGAAGAGTATAACGTTGCAGAAACTCATTCTAACACTGCTTCAATGGTATCTTCCAAACTGCAGGTGACGTCTTTCCAGGAGTTAAACGGCACTATAGAGAAGCATTTGAACTTCTCCGTACTCTAAAGAATTACTGCATCAGTAGCATAGTAATCCATATTCTCAAATTAAGAACAAAAAATCAAAGAGGAACTACTTCACCCCCCCCCCCCAAAGTTTTGCTTGACAAGGAAGACCTTTGAGTTAGGTTCAGGAAGGTCATTGTATCTCACACCATAAATCTCTAACAGATCATCAAAATCACAACCAGAGATAGAATTCCACCAAAATGCAACCAATACCCATTCTTTCTGTTTAATATTTCTAGAACGAATGCACAATCATATAAAGATCTTCAACCACAGGACTCTAACAACACGGGAACATAACTTCAAAGGTGAATAAAAATACTAGCACAAGAGACGTCAAAAGTATAAGCACCAGTATGAATGATCAAGCATGGGAACTCGAAATATAATTTTATTCATGACGGCCACGAGAATTCCACCTTCAACTGAGATGCAAAGGTAATAAACAAAATATCACCTTTTTCCATCAGGATTAAATGCCAACGCATTTATCGGTCCAAAGTGGCCTTTGACGCCACCTATTTCTTCTTGAAGGATCTAACCACGCAGAAAAACAGCATATACAAATTGTTAGACACGACTAAATGTTCCAAAAATTCCACTAAATATTCATAATATTGATTTAATTTGATTGCAACTTCATTCCTAAGAAACAATGATATTTACCTTGTCGTAGAATTTGGCTTCAAACTTTCCAGCACGGTGATCTGTGGTGGTGACAGCTGATGCGTCCTGACCACCTCCAAGAACCACCTGAAAATCATAAAAGTCACAAAATCAACATAAGAGAAGGAAAGAAACATATGTGATGAAAGTCTTACAGACATGAAAATATCGACTAGATGAAATCTGTTATTGATTACTATACATCTGGTTGAACATAAACAATGGAGACAAGCACATCCACATCCATGTACAATCACGAGTATTTCAGGTAGAGTCGGCTCTCTAATGATCAATAATCATGAGTTATTTAAAATTATCAATTTTTAGTGATTTTAATTTATCCTTGTCATATCATCTTATAACATATGATACTGCTGGCATAAAATATTATGTACATTCACATTTCCTTTAGTCATTCTCCTTACATTAGAATCAATTTCCATGCAATTAAAAAAAGGATAATATGAATCAACATAACTAATATGGTGTTGAACTCCTAATGTACACTAGGTGTGCAGGTTATGTGTTTGATTGAACCCTGCCCTCACAAGTTGTAATATATTTTTTTTCATTGATTGGCTTCCTAGATTCAAAATTTTGGACTTGACAGTAAATGCTTAAATATAATTATCCATAATTTATGTTACACGGACACTTCAACTAGAGTAGCGTGTCCATGATGGACACATATCGGATACCGACATTCATCGGACACTCTACAATAGTCATTTTTCTTTATTTATCAAAAATGTGATATATTTTTGACTTAAAGTTATTATTAAATAACAAATTGGTATTCATATATAAAAAATTTCAACAAGAGAAATTAATAACAAGTATGGAATTAAATTTATAATATATAAATGAAGAATTTTAAATAATTTAATCGATGTGTCGACGACGTATCATGTCAATACTTTTTGAAAAATCGCATGTTGACACACGTCATCGTCCATAATTTTGTACACATTGTATATATACTGCCAATTGAACAAAAAATTAATAGCAATACACATTTATAGATACAAATAGACAGAAAAAATTATGCAGACAGCAACCTTTTTTTCCTCCCATGATAAATACTGCAAAAGAATTCCTCAAAAGTTCAGAATTTTGCAATGCGAAACAAAGTTGTTTCGATATTATTGATTTCAACAAAATAAAATATAAGATGGTCAACTCTAAGTTGCATAGACACAGACACATGGATACATGATTTTTTTGGATCAGTAGGACACATGCATGTCCTTGAGCGTTTGAGTGTTGGGGTTTGATATGACGTGTTGGGCATGAACGCGCTACCCTAGTAAGAGTGACCATGCATCATAGTCAACTGCACTATTTCATCAAGTCCAACAAGGGGCCAAAATATATATAAGATGAATAGCCGACTCTATGAAGCATAAAGGTCAGCATCTACACCTTGCACACCTCGGTGAAGTGGAGTGGTTGAAGGGCGCAGGAGTTTCAAAGGCAATTTCCAACGTCCATGCTTAGTCAACATCTGCCCTCCATAAATGTGTAACATATCACTTCAAGAATTCAGATTAAGAAGATTCCTATTATGAGTAACTTATCTGCCATGTTGCTTGGCTTGCTAATCAAATTCTAAAATACTTCGACAACCTATGATTAAATCGTCCAAGTCGAAGATCACATATTATAGTTAAAGATCAGATGATGTAAATAGTTCTTAGATCAAACATGCTAAGCTTACATCCTCAAAAGTTAAGCATTAGTTAGCTCTTAAGACAGTGGAAATAAGTTGCCAATTTGTTCACCAATGAACAAGACGGATTCAAATAAATACAAAGGCAAGGAAAGAAAATGCATCTACATTAAGTATATGAACTAAGGCAGAACAGTAGCACCATGAATTTTTTAAAGTTAAGTTCTCTGTCAGCACATACATGATCAAGAAGTGGAGACATTGCAACTGCATTCACTGGGCGTTCAGTTACATAGGTCTTGATGAGCGTCAAAGTTCTCATGTCCCAAAGCTAGTGAACACACATAGGAGTCAGCCAATAAGAAAGTGAAAACAGTGGTGTAGGTACATAAAAACAAAAGGGTTAAGAGGAAACCCAAAAGATTAAGGAACAAAATACCATACCTTGGCAGATTTATCTAGCGAACCAGTGATGAAATGTGAACCGTCGTTAGATTTTGATAGTGATGTAATGGGTTTTTTGTGGCCATCTTCCTTGTCAGACTCTTTCAATAATTTCTCCGTCTGTCAGTTAGAAACACACAACATACTATTTTCATATCAATGAAGGCATATAAAATTAGCAGGCATATAAAGGTGAGTGCATATAGAAACAAAAGGCTGCATACAAAATTCAAAGCTCCAGTTACGTGAGCGAATGAATACCCAGAAATTTCATAAGCAAATATTTACCTATCTAGTCTCTAGTAACCTTTTTCTTGCAAAAATATCAGATAAAGACAAGATAAAATATAATTTACAACCTCAGAATCCCAGATACGAA